AACGAACGAACGAACGAACGAACGAACGAACGAACGAACGAACGAACGAACGAACAAATACAAAAAAACATATGACGTATCAATAAGATTTGTCTCTTTTCTGTGTCCAATACTTACAAAATTCTGACTCCTCCTGTGTTGCGCAAAAATCCGAAATGAATTTCGCTGATTCGATTTTTCCTTAGATTCCTAAGCAAACGAATAAAACGTCACAACAACTTAAAGCTCGCCTGTGCCCTGTGAACGAGCGGCAGACCCCTGGGTTGCCGAGGATGAAATTTTTATGGAGGAATGTTGAGTGGTGTTTGATTTATTCAAGAGAAACTTTTTTTTCGCATGCCTTCTCATTTTAGGGCAGTTTTTGTATGATATGTGAAAAACTCCAAAACACAGACATGACCGTGACCGTGTCCAAGCATTTTGATTGGATGAGCAGTAATTTAGCGCGCTGTGATTGGTTTGAAGGATCTTGTCAATTTTATATTATATGACAATCATGGCCGTGTCCGTGCCGTGCCGCTTCTCGATCATTCGAAATAAAATGTCTATGAACTAGGTCAATATTAAGGTGTCTAGCATTTAGCTCGAAATTTACTAATAACTTATTAAACACAGTCGAGGGGATCGAAAAAGACACACGCAGTTTGGTAAAATTTAGTATGGAATATTGTTTACTTACAAATTAGTCAGYGACGGCAAAAAAGCAAACGAAGCAAGCTGTAGTTTTCTCAGTCGGTTTCCTTCCAAATTCCTAAAAATTCAGAGCAAAGMTCCAACTCATATAACGCAACAAACATTAGTAACAAAATGAGAAATTAAAAAAGTATCGTGCGCTACACGTTTAGGGGAGGAATTGATTTCAAAACTGGACCCTCGTTCCATTCCCCCTCCCCCTTAACAAGCGCGCGCAACGCAGCAGGGCTGGGCCCGACAGTAATGAGTTTTAAAATGAAAGAATGAATTACAAAGTTCGTAGTTTCTTGACGCTCCTGAAATCCTCACTTCTGAGTTCTGAGATCCTGTTTCGGTCCAAAAGYCTGGAAAATAAATAAAGAAATAATCGAACTTTAGGTGAACTTTGTGTCCGACCGTCCGTCCGTCCGTAATGATAATAGTTAATTCAATCATGTGTCGTCCAAGAGCGTAGAGTTCGTTCAAAATACGAACATGAAATGAGAAGTCCGTCCGTCCGTCCGTCCCTTCATTCGCCGACCATCCATTCCTTCATTCAGGGTGGCTCCATAAATGGATATTGACCTACTGTCTAAGATTCTAATTGTTGTTTTAGCTTGTGGGGGTTACACTCAGTCAAGTACCACTTAACAAAAGTACAGCGTATTCATTTCATAATATTTCATATATTAAGGTGGCTGGAGCCCCTMACGCTTGACCGCTATCTTCCACGTTTGGAACGCTKGTGCATAAACGTGTTTTATCCGATTKCAAATCTTTTTTGCACATAAGTCACATAAAGATTGAATTAATGTTTGATGCAGTTTTTAATGAGATCGGACGTCATAACACGTRATTATGATGAAATATTTGTTTTAGTTTAGAAAAYAATTTTAGCCTTGCAGATGCCTCCACGTTTGAATAAAGTAAACAAGTGTTTAAAACAAGTTGTTAAAAAATCTCAAATATCTCATAATTAGCTAGATAGATGTTTTCAAAAATCCCTATAAATGAAGGCATCTAGTATATAATTATGTGGTACGAAGCATTTTAGTGTTGAACGCTCTGCAAGGCTAAAATTGTTCTCTAAAC